GCCTGTCATTCATCAAGCCAGTTACTCACATGCCTTCATGTTCTTTTAAAAAAAAAAAGCCTCTGGGTTAAATTACATCGTGTGGGCTCAGCAGACTGGCTTCGGACCTGAAAGCCTCACACCTTCGTTCGGCTGCGGTAAATTTTAAGTCTGGCTCTCCCAGCCAGCTGGTGTTCTGGGGTCTGCCAGCGAGTCAGAGAGGGTGGTGGGGGTGGGAGTGCCCTCAGCCGCTGAGTACTCAGTGGTCGGCAGATTTGCTCCTGGCTTCGGGGTGGAACTCGGGGCCTGGTGGCACATGGACAAACTCCTGGTTAGAGTCGCTGAAATGGCGTGCCATCTCTTTAAAGGCATTCTGCTTCACGACAGTTAGCTGTTTCCCATGGTTTTTATTTTATTTTTTCTCCATGACTCAACTTTGACTAATGACTCTGAAGATTTCATTTCCGATTGTTCCTGTTAGGGGGAGTAATACTTTTGTCTGATACTCTGCTTCACCTTGCCCTCTTAGAGAGAATCCGAGGGTTTTACATCTAGGACTTTTAGCCGGGACCCAAGCAGTGGCCTCAGCCACTCTGCTGTCTCTAGGGACCCTTGGCTAGCACAGAAAGATGGGTAAGGGGTGAAGGATGTTCTTTAGAGCGTGGTTTGTTAAGCTTTTCCATCCGCCGCCCTCTGCACCAAGAATTTCCTACATGGCTGGAGTCAGATGGTATGTAAAACATGTATATAAACCAGACACGGTAGTAAGTCTTAAGCTTACTTTAAAACACTTTCCTTGGATACATATAATTTTACCACTTGCTAAAGCTGAAGCAAGTTTGCAAACTAATGAGATGAACATGTTTATTTTTATGTAAAGAATTAAATCTTGGCTAGATATTCTAGGTTGTAGGAGGTAGGCTGTCTTTAAAGGTTTTCAGAGTTGACCAGTATTTTGATGTTGTAATTGCCAATATTGAGAATGATATTCATAAAGGCTTATTACACAACAGCAGGCTGTGTCTCAGGGCTATTTCAGAAAGTGTTGGGAATTTTGTTCTAATCCTAAGCCAAAATTTGGTTAACTTAAAAAAAAAAAAAGAAAATAAGAAACTCAAGCCAGCAAGTTAAGCAGCAGTTATTATAGTTATTATTTCGTTTTTATACATTTCCCCACAATCTCCTTATAACTGGAAATATATCTTTTTTCATACAATATATTCTGACCATGGCTCTCCTCCCCCAACTTCTCCCAGATCCTACCCACCTCTCCTCCCACCTAAATCCATACGATTTTTCTCTCACTACAAAACAAATAGCCCGCCGGGCGTTGGTGGCACACGCTTTTAATCCCAGCACTTGGGAGGCAGAGGCAGGCGGATCTCTGTGAGTTCGAGGCCAGCCTGGTCTACAGAGCTAGTTCCAGGACAGCCTCCAAAACAATACAGAGAAACCCACTCTCGAAAAACCAAAAGAAAACCAAAAAACCAAAACCAACCAACCAAACAACCCCCCCAAAAAACCAAATAGCCATCTAAAAGAAACAACATCAAAACAAATAACCCTGAATAGGAAGAAGAAGCTAAGAAGAGGCACAAGAAACACATATAGAAACAGACACACATATTGGCAAACACAGAAATCCCATTAAAATACAAAATTGGAAACCATAATATAAAAACAAAAGACCTGTGGGGTAAGGAAAAAAAATCCAAAGTAGTATGAGACAAAAAACAAATCTCCGAAAATACCATTGAAGTAGTTTTGTGTTGGCCATCTGCTTCTGGGCATGGGCCCTGGCCTTAAGAGTGATTTGTATATCCACCGAGACTCTGTTGGAGAGAACTAAGTTTTCACTTGTGAGTTTTTATCCACTGGAGCTGTCCCTAACCTTCTGGGTTAGAGACGGAGGCTGTGTCCTCCTCCACTCTCTACTGGGAACCCATCAGGCCCAGTGCATGCTGCCACAGTCTCCGAGAGTTCATCCCGTGTGTCAGCCTCTTCCCTGGAGTGGCCTTGAACCCCATCAGATAGCCGATGGCCAGTCTCATAGCCTCGTGCTCCTATTGCTTGCGTGAAGGTCACTAGCGTAGATTTAAGGGTTTGTAGCTGGGCTGATGTTTACCTTTTTCCTTCGGTCAGTTATGGGCAGAGTACCTTTTAGAGCCCTGGACACAATGGGTAAAGGCGCTAGATAGGCGCTAGTTTGGCTTCTCTGTATTCAGCGAGGCACGTAGGAGCTGTCCCCAGCAATAGGACCTTATCATCAGTTTGTGGAGAGCAACCGGTAGCCATGGCGATAGCCTGGGCTGTTTGGGAGTCCCCATGGGGCCCCTTTCACCAACAAACTTGACTAGACGCAACCCACTCCCGGAACTGGAGTCTTCATTTGGTGATGAGACATGTCTAACTGGGCCTCTTTCTCCCCTATTATTTGGTGATGCCATTTAGATTATCTTTGTGTCCGTTTATGTTTTAGGATGCTCCCACTGTATTAAGTTTCCATACAACCCCTCAAACGGCCTTTGATTTTGGTGAAAAATCAAACACTGAGTGGGAATGGCTCCGCAGGCTCGTGTGTTTGAATACTTGGCCCACAGTTGGTGGACCTGTTTGGGAAGGATGAGGAGGTGTGGCCTCGTTGGAGGAAGTGTGCCGCTGGGTGCAGGCTTTGAGGTTTCCACAGCTTACATCATTTCCAGTGTTCTTTCTCAGCCTCCTACCATGGGTCCAGACGTGAGCGCTCAGCTGTTCCTGCCACCAGCCCCGCTCTCACGGACTCTGACCCTCCGAAAATGTGAGCCCAGTTACACATTCTTTCATAAGCTGCCTTCAGTGTGGCAGCAGAAAACTAATACGCAACACAAAGACATACTTACTTTTTTGTGTTTACATGCTTAGGAAAATATATATATATATATATATAAATCTTGTTTTCTGTGATTAAATCATTATGTCTGTATAATCGTAGAAAACGGTATACACAGTAAAAAGCACTGTGGCACGTCAGGTATAAGGGACTGGACCCTGAGCTGAGGAGTTTCAGGAACATATAAGGACACCCACAGCACTGAGTCCGCCGGTTGTGTGTTTCAGAACCAAGGCCTGCAGCGAAGGCACTCTCTGGAAAACGGGCCAGCGCTTCCAGAAGCAGCTGAATTCATTAGGTATCTGATTTTGAATTAATTCTTGGTCACTGTGGGCTCAGTAACCCTTTATTATCGCCTCTTTTTTATGTGATTCCCCATGTGGTCGCATGATCACATAAGGGTCACAATCTATGGTTTAAGAAGTTGGGTTTTAGAGTGTGTGTATGTGTGCATGCATGAGTGTGTGTGTGTGTGTGTGTGTGTGTGTGTGTGTGTGATGTGCATGCCGTGTCCATAAAGGTTAGAAGAGGGCATCAGATCCCCTCAAATTGGCATTGCAGATGGTTGGGAGTTGTCACATGGGTGCTAGGAACCAAACCCAGGTCCTTTGCAAGAGCAACAAGTATTCTTAAGCCTGGAACCACCTCTCTAGTCCTCGTCCTCCCGCTTCTTTGAGTCCCCCCCCCGTGGTACGGAGCTTTTATTAAGTTAAATGGGTATTTCCGGAGCAGAAGGAGCACAGTCCTGTGCATCGATCTGACAGCTGAGACAGGCACTGAATCCTGATGGACGGGAGGCACGTACAACAGGGACACCCTGGAGGAGGGGAGGGTTCACACCCCAGCTGCACAGAGCTGGACCCAGGTGGACCGGGAGAGAGTTCACCATGCCACCCAGAACAGCGTGTGATCAAAAACTCACGCATTGCTTATTTCTGGAAAATTCCACACAAAGTTTTTGAGCTGCGATGGGCTGAAACAGAAAGAAACGGCAGATGAAGGTGGCAACTATATTGCGTGCTGTTTTGTACCATTTGTCTTACTATTACGTTTTAAAACCATTTCCCTGCAGCTGCACAACTTAACTTTTGTGACTGCTGGCATTCCATCAAACTGTTCTACTGGAATAACCACGCCGTCACTCACTCCCTGATGGACAGCTATGGCGTAAGGGAAGGGTCTTGGTAGAGCATGACTTCAATGCCAGCCTTTCGGTGGCAGAAGTGGTCAGACTTCTGAGAGTGCAAGGCCTGTCTGGTCTACATTATGGGTTCCTGGCTAGCTAGTAGTGGGTCACCGTCTGAAAACAAAACCGCGATGGGTGTTCTCATGCACGTAGTCTCACGGTATTTCCCCAGGAGTGGGATTACCAGGTTAAAGGGTATGCGTATTTTATAATTGGTCTTGACCTATTTTCCATATCGCTTTTCAACAAAGTTGTACCAATTTAAGGCATCTACAGTAACCTCTGAGGGTTTTAGTTTTGCCACAACCGGAAGCTCTCTGGTTAGGTCTGAATCCCAGTTTGCCACCTCTGGACTGTGTGACCATGGACACATTGTTCCACCTCGCTATGCCTCAGTTACTATCTCTGTAAAGTGGGTACACTACACTCTGGATGTAGCCTGAGTATGTTTCCCAAAGAAAGGAGCAGTGCTGGCAGCTCTGCCTCCACGGAGGTGGCGGGGGTGGTTTATATAGGAATTCTTGGGGTTGGGGAAGTTTTTCCAGAGTAGGGATTGGTCTGATTTCAGTGCTGAGCTCAGATTGGCTAGAGCTCTGCTCCGGGATTGGTTACTTTTTACACAGGATTAGGGTCAGATTTGGCTCTGGTTTCAGGGCCAAAGTGTGTTTCTTTCTCTGGTCCTTTTTAGCCTTTTGGCTCCAATTTTAGGGCCAGGGTACATTTCTTTCACTGACTTTGATTCCAAGGACAAAGTGTGTTCCTTTGGCACTGGTTTTAGGGTCAGGATACATTTTTTTGGTTGTGGTTGCAGGGCCAAAGTGTGTTTCTTTGGCTCTGCTCAGGGTGTGTTTCTTTGAGTGGTCTCTTTTCCCTACACTGAGAGCATTGCTTGCCCTAGTATTGTGCTTGTTAAATAAATACATCGCTGTAGATCAAGATAAAAAAACAATAGAAGTAATATGGTATTTAAAAAGTGTTACATTTTTATTAGCATTATTTCCCAGAAAGTCCTGTAAGTCCTCCACCCTTCTTTTCTCAGCCTTCTGTCTCTGAAGTGCTGGGTTTATAGGTGTGAACCATCACCCCTGGCTTCCTTCAAGTCTTTTTTTTTTTCTAGAAAAGATAAAAAAAATGAAGTGTTAATTTACAGAGATATGCAGCCACATCCCCTAGGAAGTTATTTAGGCTTAGAATATCATTTATTTTTATTTTGTGTGTATGAGTTTTACAGGCATGTGTACCATGTGCATGCCTGGAGGCCGGAAGGGGGCACTAGCACCGGAACTGAAGCTGTGAACTGCTGACCAGTTGGTCTCTCCCGTGCAGCTTCCGGTATGCTTTTGAACAGGATATTGTGTGCTAGGGTCGGCAAGAACAGAGGCACTGGGGCATGGATTTTCCTTACCTCTTATTACGTGTAGGGGTGTTTCGCCTGCATGTATGTCTGTGCACCACACGTGTGTCTGGTGGTGGGGGCAGAAGAGGGCATTAGCTTCCCTGGAACTGGAGTTACAGACACCATGAGCCATTCTGTGGGGGCTGGGAATCGAACCTGGATCCTGTGGAAGAGCAGCTGGTGCTGTAATGCTAAGCCGTCTCTCCTGGGACGCGCGCGTGTGCGTGTGTGTGTGTGTGTGTGTGTGTGTGTGTGTGTGTGCAGGGGTGTTCCTTCCTCTCTTCCTCTCCGAGAACTAAGGTTTGCTAAGATTGCTTCCACCTGGGCAGCCTTTGGTTTCTATGAGCGCACAGAGCTGCTTGTCGCCGCCTAGAGGCGGTGGCGCCGGGATAAGTGCGGGGATGAGACCCGGCTGCCTTGGCGCATGGAGGGAGAGGCAAGGGGTTCAGCCCCGTGCCTGGGTCGGCTCCAGCCCTCCTCCTCGAAATCTCAGAAATTTCTGCTCAGCAGACCTAGCCTTTCAATCCTAATAGGTGCTTAAAAACTGGAAACCCGAGAAGCCTCCTGGGTTGGTTCTCGAGCCGCCGCCCCAACGCTCCAGGACCCCGTATGCGCTCTGCCAATGCATCCCGGGGAACCCGCCCTGCTCCTACCCACAGCTGGGGTTTGGGGTGTCTCTGGCCACCCCGTGGTCCCTTTCCACGATGCAGGCTCCAAGCTAACCAGGGCTCAAAGCCCGCACAGTGCAGACTGTACCGTGGGTTTGCGCTTTACCAGTTTTCCCGTTCTCCTAAGTACAGATCAAACCGTGCTTACTGCAGCATCCGCTGCTTGGCCAAGGGCTTTTGCTCACCCCCTTTGGTGTAAGTTAGACACGCTCCTCCTTTCCCAGTGTTTGTTGTGTGTGGTCACTCCCACCCTCCAAACATGTGTGCCGGGCGGGTGTGAGTATACAGAATGCATGACACATGTGGACAGCCTGGGAGGAGGGGTCAGTCCGTAGGTGCCCTCCACCTTTTGTCTGAGACAGGGCGGCTCGTTAGTGTGGAGCTTTCCATAGTTTTCAGGGGCTTGCAGGGATCCTCCTGCCTCCCCTCCCCTTCTCTGAAGCTCAGGTGCATTACCGTGTGTATGCGTGCGTGCGTGTGTGCATGCGTGCGTGCGTGTGAGTATGCGTGTGTGCGTGTGTGTGTGCGTGTGTGTGTACGCACGCGCACACTCAGCTGTGGCGGCAGCAGCGCCTTACCTGCGAGTTCTCTCTCTAGCAGTTCCTACACCCGTTTCAATTGTTCTATAATATTGTCTGGATTCTGAATTTTGCTTTCCACCTAAACTTGGCTTTACAGAGGTACACACTGTCTGTGTAATATTCTGTCAAACATATAAAGCTATTCCACAGTTGAACTTTAGGGTTTTTTGTTTGTTTGTTTGTTTTCCTTTAAAATTGTTAGGGCTGGAGAGATGGCTCAGTGGTTAAGAGTGCTTGCAGCTCTAACAGAGAACTAGTTGTCTCACAACTGCCTATAACCCCAACTCTAGGGAACTCCCATATCCTCTTGTACACACACACACACACACACACACACACACGAAATAAATGAATGAAATAATTTTTTTAAAGAAAAGACTAGTCAGCAACCCTCCCAAAGTGTGTTATATGTGGACAATGACACTTTTGTCTTAGGTGACTCAAGCTCACAGGCTTTAACATTCGTCAACAGTTCTCTTAAAGTACACCGATGTGCACAACCTCTAGAGTTACCTCCATGCACGAAACAGTCAGTTGCTCTGTGGGCAAGCACATGCCACTGTGCTTGTGGGAGTCAGACAGCCTGTAGAGCTCTGTTCCCTCTGCTGACCACGTGGGTCTCCGGCTTGAACCTGGGTTGTCAGGCTCTGGGGCAAACACTATAGACTGAACTATTTTTCCAGCCCTTAGAGGTGTCTTCCTAAACACAGTGGGGAGATGTTCCCATGGCAGTGTGAGGACCTGTCTTCCCAAGACTGTTCTGATATCTGTCTGTCTATCAACTATGCATGTATGTATGTATGTATCTATCTATCTATCTATCTATCTATCTATATATCCTCTCTCTCTCTCTCTCTCTCTATATATATATATATATATAAATTTTTTAAAGTAAAGGCCAGCCTGCAAACCCCCAAAAGTGTATCACATGTGGCATTTATCTATTGCCTTTGCGTGTTGGAGTCTCCCATTCTCAAGCAGTGCATACAACAGTCAACTCTTGAGACCTCTGATGTTTGCTCTATGACTTTCAGGTCTGAGGAACCAAGTGACATAGTTTAAACATACTCCTAGCATCATTTCAACCAACCTCAATTCACGGCCCATCTTCAAATGGTGAGCAGACTTGGATGATGTAATCTAGAGACTGATGATGTTGTCATGGTCACAGAGCTCAGTTGTGTGTTCCGAGTTTCTGTGGATGACTTGGACGCTCATTGGATTGATGCTGAGTCTGCTTAATCCAAATAATTACAAGTGCATTAGGGGGAATGCGTCTTCACAAGGTGGTAATATTGCAAGCATTAAGACGATCACTGCCTAAGTCTTGGCACTCACGAACAGGGTCCGGTTTCTTTGAGACGGCCAGTGTCTGTGTTTTTAAGTTTCCTTCTTCATTTCACTTGCCCTCTTAGAATTTGAGATAATTTAAGCCAATAGCCCCAGGATGCCCCCACCAGGAGACATGCCTGTTTTACATGGATGCATGCCTGTCCATGTGCACACAATAGTTTTGTGTCATTGACTGGGAAGGACATGGAAGTATCTCTTGTGGTCCCTGAGAAGCTTGTAGGTGAGCCTCAGGGATAAGGGGAACAGCTCTGGCATGCTTAGCGACTTCCGTAAAGATTAGAGTTCTCTGTTCACAGGGCGTGGTTGCTTGCTAATAACGTTCTTAAATGCTGGGATTGAGGAATGCAAATCCGGTGGCCAGGGAGGAACACTGGGCTTCAGCCCTGGGGAAGATGGGTGGAAGCTTCCTGGATGTGGTAGGGTTAGAGGAGCCATGAAGCAGGGAGAAGGTTCTGGAGAGTTGGAAGCAGTTAGCGAAGCTGCCTCCTGTCTTACTCTTCCATTGTGATGAGGAGACGCCATGACTAAGAGAACTTATACAAAGACACATCTAACTGAGGGCTTGCTTATGGTTTCAGAAGGCTAGTTCATGATACTCATGGAGGGAGCATGGAAGGCAGGCAGGCGGGCGAGGGAGGGAGGGAGAGGGGGGGAGAGGGAGAGAGAGAGGGGGGGAGAGAGAGGGAGGGAGGGAGAGAGAGAGGGAGAGAGAGAGGGAGAGAGGGAGAGAAAGGGGGAGAGGGAGAGAGAGGGACAGAGGGGAAGAGAGAGAGGGGAAGAGAGAGAGGGGAAGAGAGAGAGGGGAAGAGAGAGAGGGGAAGAGAGAGAGGGGAAGAGAGAGAGGGAAGAGAGAGAGAGAGAGAGAGAGAGAGAGAGAGAGAGAGAGAGAGAGAGAGAGAGAGAGAGAGGACCTGGTATGGACTTTTGAAACCTCAAAGCCCACCCCTAGTGACACACATCCTCAAAACGGGCCACATCTCTAACCAGGACACACCTCAAATCCCTCCCAGAACAGTTCTACTACTTGAGGACCAGGCATTCAAACACATGAGCCTATGGGGCTGTTCTCATTCAGATCACCAGATCACCAGGGGGTAAATGTGGTAAGAAGAAGAGAGACAAAATAAGTCTCCTTTGGTGATTAGGGTTCATTACATAACTGTGATGGAAAGAATTAAATAGGATGATGGCTTGTGTTTGGGTAGAGACCTCTAAGTCAGACACAGACAGAGGCTTAATCTTGAAACCACCACAATTGTTCTCATAATCATCACCATTGCCGTTATCACAAGCATCATTACTACCGCTGCTGTCACCATCGTCACCGCCATCACCACCATCACCAACCTCACCATCCTCACCATCATCCTCACCACCATCCTCACCATCATCCTCACCACCATCCTCACCATCATCACCATCACCACCATCCTCACCATCATCATCCTCACCACCATCACCATCATCACCATCACCACTATCACCATCATTACCATCCTCATCACCATCATCCTTACCATCCTCACCATCATCACCACCATCATCCCTACCGCCACTATCACCATCATCCCCACCACTGCCACCATCACTATGACCATTATGAAGACGGAGTTTCTTTCCAGCCTGGTCCCGCAGCCCTTTAGTCCCAAATGAACACACTGAGGCTTATACTAATTATAAACTGTTTGGCTGATGGCTCAGGCTTCTCATTGGCTAGCCCTCTCTTGATTATTAACCCGTTTCTATTAAACTATGTATCGCCATGAGGCTGTGGCTCACCTGCAATGCTCTGGTGTGTCACTCCTTCGGCGGCTACATGACATCTCCCTTTGGCGACTCACTCTCTGTGTTCTTCTTCCCTGAGTTCTCCTAGTCTGGACACCCCGCCTATACTTCCTGCCTGGCTGTGTCCTGCCTGTCCATTGGTGGGAACAGCTTTTTATTCATCAACCAATAAGATAAACATGTATTCACAGCACGCAGAAGGACACCCCCCCCCCAATACCACTGCTCACACCACCACGACAGCAATGCCGCCATCATTATCACCTCTGATAGCATCACCACCACCATTATTGTTGGCAGCTAACGGGTATTATGGGCTTACAAAATGTGGTTCTAACATAAATGTACTTTACCGGCTCCTTTTTTTTTTTTTTTAAAGATTTTTATTTATTATGCATACAGTATTCTGCCTGTATGTCTGCCTGCAGGCCAGAAGAGGGCACCAGATCTCATTACGGATGGTTGTGAGCCACCATATGGTTGCTGGGAATTGAACTCAGGACCTCTGGAAGAGCAGCCAGTGCTCATAACCATTGAGCCATCTCTCCAGCCCCTCAGATAACCTTCTGAAATAGGTGGTTCCTGTGTCTACTTTGTAGCAGAGAACCTGGACTATGAAGAAATAACCTTTAACTGGTATGTAGCAGGGATGGGGGGGTTCAGATGGCCTGGCCAGGCACCTTGTCACACAGAACCGAGTCCATCTTTGCTAATGTCAACTTCCAGCCCTGTCCTGTTTCTGAGATTGTATTTCCTCATATATCAAGAAGAGACATAAGCACCTTGGGGAGGCAAGGATAGCTGGCGTGGGCTCACATTCCTCAGATGCATGCAGGGCCCACGAGGACTAGAAGGGATGGGGTGAAGCTGGCTTCGGGAAGGATTTGCTCGCCAACTTCCCGCAGTGATAGTGAGTCAATGCAGATAGTAGGCGTTGCATTCCTCCCAGGGCCTCCAAGGAATGGGTTGGGAGTTCTGTAGGTCTCTGCATCATTCCAAGTACGGAATCCGCTTCCCTTTGTCTTCCAAAGGTTGGAGGGTGAAACCGGGACACTGCTGTTGCGCTGAGATTTGGCACAGGTTCTGGCACCGGTTGTGCATTCCAGGGGCTGAAATGGGGATCTGCCGAAATTATCAGTGTCCTCTGGCTGCCAGTTCCTGCTTCCTGTTGGGGCTGAGCATAGCCAAGTGCTCTGTGTCTCTCAGGAGAGAGTGAGAGAGGCATTCTTAGTAGTCTGTAGTTCAACAATGCAGGGAATGGCTGTAGCCTTCACAAATGCTCTTGGGGGGAAACGGCAGCAAGCAGGGCCTGTCTCTGCAGGGATGGAAACGGCAGCAAGCAGGGCCTGTCTCTGCACGGATGGCCAAAGCTACTCACACGCCAGGCCCTGAAGTCCTGTGCTTTTCTTCTGGGTAACAGCCTAGAGTGAGACATTATTTTCCCTTTGCATTGCTCTGTGTAAGGACTTCAGAAGCCACAAAAAGGTCTAGAGCAGTGGCTGTTGACCTTCCTAACGCTGCTGACTGTGACACAGCTCCTCACGTTGTGGTGACCCCAACCATAAAGTTGTTTTTGCTGCTGTTTCATAACTGTAATTTTGTTGCTGTTATGACTCACAATGTAAACATCCATGCTTTCTGGTGGTCTTGGGCGACCCCTATGAAAAGGTCATTTGCTTCCCCTAGGGGTCATGACCCACAGGTTGAGAACCACTGGTCTATAGAGAAGAACAAGTTCTTGTCCTTGGTTGTGAGAAATTTATTTGTTCTTTTTTTCCCTTTAAGATTTACTTACTTTATGCATATAGGCATCTGCCTGTGTGCATGTATGCGCACCACACGCATGCCTGATGTCCACGGGGATTAGAAGAAGGTGTCAGACACCCTGGAACTGGTGTTACAGACAGTTGTGGGTTATTCTGTGAGTGCTGGGAACCAGACTCAGGTCCTCTGCAAGAGTGCCTGACACTCTTAATCAAAATAGGCTTTGCTGGAATCAACAAACACTTTTTTCTTTTTCTTCCTCTGACTCAATTTGGTTTCAAACTTTGGGTATGCAAGAGGCACAGACAAAGATGAAAGTTAAAATATTGAAATGTAATTTGTTTGAAAATGGTGAATATTTTACTAAGATTCAACTCTATAAATTTTTTAACTTTTATAGTGAGGTTGAGAGTCAAGTTGGTGCTAGTTGAAGACATATTTGGGATATTCGTAATTTTGGGAAAGCTGGGATGTTATTCATTATTTTTCAAAGTTTATTTATGTATTTAGGAGATTTTTGGTTTTTTGCTTTGTTTGTTGTTGTTGTTGTTTTGTTTTTAATGTGGGTCAGAGCCCTGGCTATTCTTTCAGAGAACCTGGCTTTTTTTTTTTTTTTTTTTTTTTTTGGTTTTATTTTTTGGTTTTTCGAGACAGGGTTTCTCTGTAGCTTTGGAGGCTGTCCTGGAACTCACTTTGTAGACCAGGCTGGCCTTGAACTCACAGAGATCCGCCTGCCTCTGCCTCCCGAGTGCTGGGATTAAAGGCGTGCGCCACCAACGCCCAGCTCAGAGGACCTGGCTTTTGACTCCCAGCGCCCACACAATGAATAGCTCACAACCATTTTACCTCCAGTGCCAGGTGATCTAGTGCCCCCTTCTGGCCTCCATGGGAACTGCATACATGTGATACACATACAGGTAAAACATAAAATAATAACATAATTTAAAAAACTTAGTTTTAATTTAGTGTGTATGTGTGGGCTGAGGTGGGCTGGGGAGGGAGTGGCACATATGTAGAATTTTAGTCCTGGAGTCGACACTTTCCTTCTACCATGTGAGCCTCAGGGATTGAACCCAGGGAATAGATGTGGTTCCTTTACCTGCTGAGGCAGCCCAACAGTCCACTTTTCATACTTTTTAATAAGTGCATTTTATCTGTTTAATTTTTTTACATTTAATTTGTGAGTGTGCATGTGTGTATCTGTGTGTGTGTGTGTGTGTGTGTGTGCATGTGTGTCACAGTGTACCTGCAGCGCTCAGAACAACTTATTGGGGGTTTGCTCTTTTCTTCCATCATGTGGATTCAGGGGGCGAACCTAGGCTCCTTAACCCC